CGTTGACTATCCGTGCAGAGAGGCTTGAACGTCTGACAGTCTGCTACAGCTGGGGGTGCCCATCTTCTGTGCTCGCTGGTACAGATCTGAGTCTCCAAAGTAGCGTGCCCGGTACAACAAGCCTTCCTCTGCAAAGGGAAAAGCCCAGCGTTAACAAATGTGACGTGGAAAGAGACCCATCCGCCAGGCCATGTCCCACCACAGGCTCTGCTGGGAACAGGAGGCACCTCAAGTTCTTCAAGGCGAGATGAAGCACAGGATGAAGCTGAGGAAATGCCCTGTGCCCTTTAGGACAGGATAAGCGTAACATCTTCTGACAGCTCATCCGTCCCAGGGAAAGCCTTGGGAACCTGACGGGACCTGCCTCTGCTCCCAGGAGGCACCGGAGGCAGCCTACACAGAGGTTACGCCAGCAGCACGGGGAAGAAGAAACGCAAAGGCTGAGAGCTCGGTGCATCGGCCTCGCTTGGCATCACTCGGGGCTCTTAACAGCCCCTCCTGCATCCCAGGCGCTCAAATCCTACCCCAGCCACTGCTCCAAGAGCTGGGAACAGGCGGGCAGAGAAGTCAGGTCACCCCTGGGACTTGGCAAAAAGTTTGCGGCCCTCGTCACGCTGCACTGCCTGGCGAGATGGCCAGATCACCTCTCACGCTGTCTGGCTGTGTAGCCCTCCCTCCTAATCCTGCATGCCTTCAGCAGCAGGCAAGGTGACGTCGGGGCTGCCACCACAGCCTCCTGAACAGGCGTGGGACGCGGGATGGAGGACACCATGGGCAGCAGACTTTCAGACACGGTCCTCGAACAACTGAAATATTACACAAAGCTATGGGGACCTCCTGAAAATCAGATGGCTGCAACGTTCCCCCTCCACTGGAAATCAGAGATATCCTACTGACACGCAGGAGAACCTCCGGGGCACGACTCTTGTCTGACCAGTTCTACAGCAGCATTAAAAAACAAAACAAAACGAAAAAAACCCACATACTGGATCTGTCACAAAGTCATAGATAGAAAAAAAACCCCAACAATACAGGAAACGTGCTCGCACCACATTAAAGTATAACTTCAGCATAACTCAGTCCCCAGTAAAAGACCTTTCTGAAGGTGACCTCATGCAGCAGCCAAGACCCCACTCTACTCACTCTGCTGCTTCTCTTTCCAGCAGTTATTTCGAAGGTTTGCAATATAGTCGTCCTCCACGCTCCTTTCAACGTTTTTCAGGTTCGCGCCCGTGTATTCGTCTGCAAAGTTCTCAGATACGTAGTAGCCGACTTTCAAGTGCTCTGTCACTCTCCTGTGTATGTGACCCACAGACCTGGTTGGGGGAGAAGAGGCACAACAGTGTAGGACACGCTTCAAGGGCAGAGCAAAAAGCTCCCAGCTCTTTGTAACACACAATGTGCCACGATATCAAACTGCTGAAAACATACATCGCTCCTAGGCATCCAGAGACTTGAAGGTTTGGAAAGGAGAAGCGTTTCTGGTGGAAATGAAACACCAACACAGGGAGAGAAAACCTGCCAGGCCTCTAGCTAGGTGGGCAGAGCTCTGAATACAGACATCACTCTGAGGCAGATTGCCCAAAGCCTAAACCCACTTCAAATAAAGCGTTCATTAGAATTTTCACCGCTTATTAAATCTCTCTGCAATTTCCTTGCTGACAACACCATCATCTGGTTTTGGTGATGAGCCCCATGGAGGGTTACAAAGCTTGGAGGCCAACGCTCGTGCGGTGCAGGGCGAGAGCAGCCGGCGAGGCAGAAGGAGGAGCAGGGCAGCGCCGAGGTGAGGGCAGAGCCGGGGCTGGCTGTCCCAGCTCCCCAGCAACCCCCCCGCCTCGCTCAGCAAGGCAGCCCGCAGGTCAAACCCAGTGCCCTCCGCTAAAATATCTGCTAACCCCAAGAGTGTCAGCTTCCTCTATCACATCACATGCTGCAACGAACACTGTTGCTGCAAGAACAAAATTAGACCCGCTCTGCACTCCAGCCTGCACCAATTAGTACAGAAAGCACTTTCTAGAAGGAAATCTCATCTTAGCCTGCCCCCACGGATTTGCATTTCAGACAAAGCCCTGTACTTATTTTTCCCAACACTCCAGCAAACCTAGAGATACTCACTAGGGCGTGTTTGCAAGCTGTAACACAGGACCTGTGCCCAAATGCTGGATTCATCAGGAACAGCTCCATCTGGAGATGTGCCCAAAGTTTCCCATAATAAATACCAGCTGGCTGCCGCATTAAAAGCGAGCCTGATTCTTAAGCCAGGTATAAACATTAACTCATCCGGCTCGCCCTTCACTCTGTTATCAGGGTTTTACAGGAGTGATTCAAAGCCTCCTGCACGTTTCATCAAGGTCCAGCACTCAGGGACGAGCGGTGGGTAACCGGATAGACTGAACGTGACCAAAAAGCTCTGTTGGCATTTTTTGAGAGAGAGACTAACGCATCTCCAGCAGTGCCTGCTGGCAGAGATGCAGTCTGGAAGAAGCTCAGCTCACTATTTTACCTGTCCAGATAGAGCCCGAAGCTCTCCCAAAGTTCATATTCCTCTTCTGTATAAAGATGAAGTACAGAGGCTACAAAGTGTGCCCTCAAAGGGGGAGTATTTAAGCTCGCAGAACTCCAGCAGCACGCTTGAGTGTAAAGCATGAAAATAAGGGCAGGACCTGGCGCAAGAAACCTGCCACCTGAAGTCAGACATGCAATTACATCAGGCAAATTCGATGAGGTGTTACTGAAGAACAGGGTGGCACAGCCAGGCCCGCAGCCAGACAGGTCTTTCAGCAGAAAGCTACTTTTTGGAAGATATTTACAAAGGTAATGGAGTGACAAATGGTTCTTTAAGACTCTACCTTTCTCAGCGACAGCTTCGCTATCAAGAAGTAGCATTAAAATCTCCGTGTGCCATTGAAACCTCACCAGGTTCAAAAGCTTCTCGGCTCCAGCGCACCGAGTTCAGCGCGGCGAGCTCCAGGTTTTTGCCGGAGGACAGCCAAGCCCAGCGTTTCCCTTCACACCAGGCAGCAGAAGGGGCTTGGCTGCCTGCTTGAGCAAGCAGCACCGCCTGCCGGCACAGCCCGCCTTTTGCTCCCGAGCTAACTTCATTTGAAGGGCCTTGGTCACTCAGGAAGGATGCCAGAGGACTGGATCAGCTCGTTTGCCACTCTTGTCCAAATCCAAACTTGGAAATCCATTTGCTTGCTGCTACCCAAGCATGCAGAGGCAGGGAGAGCACAGGCAACCAAGTAGCAGAAAAACACCTAGGGCTCAGGGATGGCTTTCCTCTGACAGCAAATCCCTGCCCACTTAAAAGCTGCCCTCCACTGAACGTCATCTTGTCCCACAAACCGCCTCTTCACCACTATACAACAAACTGCTACACATACATAATGCTGACTTTTATCGTCCTAATATCAACTGCAGAAATCACATGTCAAGACTCTTAAGCCTCTCGGAATAACCCTTAACTGTGCCCTCTCTTCAAAACTGCTCCACCTTTCAGATCCAAGCACTAACGTCATAGTCTTAACCTTGGACCTGAAAGCTAAGCAGGGTTTTATTGTACGTAACATCATCAACGGCAAATGTTGTCACCTGTGAAACCAAACAGGGACCACTGGCTGTAACCACGTCTACCCTCTTTAAAAACACATAAGGAACCGCCACTGAAAATACATTAAGCTTTTGTCAAGAATGATGCAAGCAGCCAGAAATCAAGCCTCTTTTCCCATTCTTTGTTGGCACTGCGAAGTGAGTAAGAATAAAGACTCATTTCATTAGTCAGCCAAGTGAGCAGATCAGGGCATTTCCACAGGATCTAGAATGAAACAGCTTCACTTTCACATAGTAAATGTCTGGCCATGGCTATTTCATGGCAAGATTAGAGTTCAGAAACAGGGGATTTCTCTGGGAGTGTCTTTTACTCTACAGGAGTGGCTTTTATTCCTTCTTCTCTTCCTCTACTGCTTTGTACTAGGCATAAACGGAGGCTTTCGTGAAGAACAGATCTGGCTTTTGTGTTTCACAGCCCAATTTAACTCTACACCTCAATTCATTCTGTATATGGGATGTCAGTGCTGGGCTACAGTCTCTCAAGTCTCCCTACAGTCATTTTGTCTGTCCCTTTCTAGGACAGACCAACCCAGCTGTGCGTATGGGCTGCAAAAGGTCCCTGTCAAAGAATATCCTCCCTTAGGCAAGTGAGCACCCTCCAACCTTCCCCACACCTTCCATCTCAAGACCTGTTTGAGAATCAGGAGGACTTCACTGATAGGTGAGACATCTGGCAGCAAGAGCAACGGTGTGATGAGATAAAGTGAGGACAAAAAAAAGACAAGACAGGAAAACCAGAGAGCCTAGATCCCTATCCCGTCACGCCACCCTGCCCTCCAGAACCCAACCCCCTCCCCGGCTGGATAAATTTTAGAGTAACGGGTACTAACGGCCTCTGGCTCAAACTGTAGGGTGGGCTGGAGACCATCATCTGGCTGAGAGCAGACACAATGATGAGGATGAGGATAGGCATCAGCTGGACAAACAACCCAAGGCCACCCTGAAGGAACAGAAACACACAGTGGAGTGCCACCCGTACGCTTGTACGCAAGGATCCCATCACATTGCTCTCCCTCCCTCCCAGCCCTAACACAACCTCGATTCTCCCGCTTTTTGCAGGCATTTGGCTTCGGAGGCACCCCAAAATAACCGGGGGGAACTGGCAGCCCACAGTTCCCCTCCAGAAAGGGCAGTGTGACTCCAAATGTCCAAACCCACTGCCCCTTCTCCAGACGTGACAAAGGGCAGAGGGCAGGGGCAGGGGGAACTTTGTGAGTGAATTTCAAAAGCCTCATGCCTGTATTTTGTTTTTCTAGAGCATATGTGGTTTCTGTCCTGCTCGTGCTAGTGAGCAGGTCTGGTTTTATGGAAAGCCTTCTCCCCTCTTCAGGGTCAGATGAAAGTAATTCCCCCTCTACCTCACCTCCTGAACTCCCTCCAGTTCCGGCAGAGTACACTTCCCCCTTTAACCTTCAGAAAAAGTATTCAGGAAGTTCTTGTTGTTTGCTTGCTTGTTTTTTTTTTTTAAAAAAAGAATTGGCTATCCCCAGAAAACAGCAATTTTCAATCCATAACCCTGGTCTCAAATAATAAGTCCCTCATTCTCACTTCTCTAGACCAGAAGGCTTGGAGGGCTGGAGACATACTTAGGTTTTCTGTGATGGGAAAACATAAAAATAGCTGATGCTATAAAGTGCCTTCCTTGGTTAATTAAGCACCACAGATTGAAAACACCCCATCTTCAGTACTGGAATAAAAGGGAGAATGAGTTCGTGTTGGGAGGAGACACGAGTATCCATTATTATCTGAAAAGTGGATTTACCTTTTGAAATTAAATCAGAACTAAATCAGAAAGGAAACGCTTATCCTGTGGTAAAGACAGGTACACTTTACTGGTACAATCTTATTTCAAGGCGGCACTGTTTCAAGACACACCAGCGTTTTCCCCACTGGACGATGTCTATGAGAGTCCTGGGAGAACAACCACCAGTAAATTAAATGGCAACTTGGTGTAAATTCTGAAGGCAGCTCACTTCCCACAACTCCAGCTTTCTGTTCAAGGGGGTGGAAACAAGCAGGACTGTTTCACAAGACAGCCAAACCAACTAGCTCGCAATTCACGTATTGGAAAAACCTTTAGACTCCCAGCCCCCCGCCTGTTCGCCACTTACGTCACCCTGATGTTCTCGTCTGTCCTGCCTCTGATGGTAGGTATATCGCATCCTGCCATTGCTGTATACATGAACGTTACCTATAGGCAAAAGAAAACTGTCACACAAAAGTCAGAGTAGGTAAGACGGTGCTGGCTGGCCAGGAAGGAACCACAAAAGGTGTCCGTCTTCCATGTCAGCCTCAGCATATGGGACTCCGCAGGAGACCGATAGAAGAATTCATACCAAAAACTTCTATTCATCACCTGAAGCCAACATTTACAAAATGAGCTATATAAGCCAGAGCTGAAAAAGGAGTACTCCTAAGGTGTACTGAGCAGCTATGACTGAAAGCAAACTGGCAGCAGGCATAGAGATCCACCTAAAGGATTTTGTAGGATCATGTGAAAATTCAGGTTGGAAGTGACCTCAGGAGGTCCAACCTCCTGCTCAAAGCAGGGTCAGCTATGTCGAGAGAATATCTTGCACAGGCCTCCTTGCTTCTACTTGAATCTACTTTAGATTAAAACCAATTACACAAAGAAAGAATTTTGGTAGTTTTTCCAGCCTAAAAACAGAGCTCTTCCATGTCTTGTTTTAAATGTTAAAACTAAGCTGAAAACGGAGACTAGCTGAAAAAGCTAGCCTGAATTCTCTTGGGACAGTGAGGAAAGGAGAAAAAAAAAAGACTGAACTAAAATAGCAACCAGCAGTTTTTACTGGAGTAGCTTTACCTCTCTGACAGGCAGAACACGAATGCTGCAAAAGGCTTCAAGATGCCTTTGCAAGTACTTGACGTTAGTGTGTTAATTCTTACATACCAAATAGGAAGGAGCTACCAGAGTAAATCTTCTCAATCGAAACAAAACTGCTTATTTTTCCAAGTTGGGCCACTGAGGTCAAATAACCACTGCCTCCACTGCCATCTGACTAGAGCAAATACAGGGGAGCCTTCTAAAATACTCTTATATTAAATCCGTGTCTTTTTGATCGGAACCAATCAAGTGAAGGAACAGTCCATCGGCTCTTTCCTGCTACCCAAACCATGATCAGCACTGTGGATAGACAGGATACGGATTTAATTTTCAATTCCAAAGGTTTAAATTATGCTCCAGAAATAACACTTTCCTTTTTTTTTTTATGGGACACAGCAGAAAGAAGGAAGTGGACACTGATCTCAGAGAAACTGTTCCAGCTGCGTGGCAGAGCAGATGCAGATCAGGAACAAGGCCCAGACGCTACATAGTTTGTTCTGATGAGAAGATTTAACTTCTAAAACCACCAGGCAGAAAAGTCTTCTTCAAAATAGGATTATTTTTACAACTAGCCTTAAAACAAGTAATTTTGTTGTTTTAAAATGCAACCCAACCTAGTAACAGCCAATGTTGCCAGCATGCGAAGTTGGGAAGAAGTCCAGCTCTGATGGTATTACCTGCTGGATGCCGAGTTCTCCAAGTACCCACCTGAACATTTTAGAAAACTCTAGGTGTTTAGATCATGGGTGAAGGAGAACTCTCTGTCATCAAACTCAGCAATCCTTGCATGGCCACATAAACCACAACTGCATTGTTGCTCTGTCAAAAAGAATGGGTCCCATTCAAGAGATTAAGGTTTAAGGTGCTTACTAGAAGGAAAACCACCACCAAAAAACATGTTGAAGAGGTCCTCGGGGGAGATGTCTGCCTCAAAGCCACGGTGGAAGTCCGAGTGACTGTGTCCGTGCCGAGCAGGGTTGAGTTTCTCGTCTCCAAACTGGTCATATTGCTTCCTCTTCTCTGGGTTGCTCAATACTGCGTACGCATTGCCAATGGCTGAAATATTGACAATAAGGAAGCAATTAGCTTCTTTCTTCTACAGATTTAGCCCTGCAAACTGCCAGGACTTGCCTTTCTCATTACACAAATGAGATACTCGACTACCCACGTCTTTTCAACAGGCTACTTCAGCGGCGCAGCACTGGTACCTGGCACACTTCTCTGGCAAACACAGACAGAAGGAAACCACACCAAGAGACTCAATGAAAAAGGCCTTAATTAATTCAAATGAAGAAATTACAACATGACTGGTATGAATTTGGTATATGTCCCTAGAGAAACCATCTCAGATGAATGAAACTATGAATTGCGAAGGAAATATTGGTAGTAGAGCAGCTACATGTTTCACTTAATTAAACTTGTTATTCCTTTTGAACAACTAATGCTCAAATCTTTCAGCCATAAGCAACTGTATAGGACAGTATCATTTTAGTTGACAAATTTTACTCAAAAGTGGCATTGAGAGAATTCAGTATCATAGCCTAAAACCAGAACTGCAAAGATTTTAAATACAGACTAGATCACTGAAAGAGACTTTAAAACTTCCCCTAACAGCTAGTAAGGAAATGTCGGCTAGAAGTTGTGTCTGTCAGCTATGAATTTCAAAATTTCCAGATGCCAGAAGTAAGGTGCATAATTACAAGGATTGTTAACCAGCGCCTGTGACAGTGGAAATGTACTGGAACTAAACCCCCACCACTATCCCAGGTCACTCGCCTTCCAACCTCAGCACGTTCGAGGCTTTCTACCAGAACGTCTGCCTGCCACCCACCTATTTCTGTACTTCTCTCTCTGCACGTTCCAGCTTACCACTTCCCCTCTGCACCAACCGACCCAAGAGCCTCCCTACGTGACTGCAGAGCCTATCCTCTCTCCTCCCTGTGTCGCAAGGAGGCAAAAATGTTCAAGGCAGTAGTGGCCTGGTGTCTAAAAGGCAGGGGCAGAAGTGATAGAAAAGGGAAATACATTCCCTTTGGAGGAGGTTAACTCCCAAGATTCAACATTTTCCCAGTAGTCAGGTCGAGGTGTACGGTTTCTTCTTGGACTAGAGATTTGAAGCGTGGAGGATGTAATGTCAATACACTTGTTCTCCTTCTTGGTTATAATTAGTGCACGCAGAGCAAACATTTCTAGAACCAGGGAAGGAAGACGGATGACAAGGTCTGCCTCTCAGCATATTAGCTTGTTCTTTCAAACTGTGCGGTTAAGCAAAGAAAATGGAGCAGTTCAGGGTTTTGTTTGTTGTCTGACTTTCTGCTGACAAAGCCCAAGAAACACCTCATTCCAAATCAGGATTTTAGCTCCAAGTAGCCAGGTTCACCTCTTTTTCCAACGTCAGCCAAAGGTAGTGATGCAAATCTGCCTCAAGGCGACTGCGGCCAACTGCAACTATGGACCGAGACAAGGTCTCGGGATGAGACGTAATGCTTTATCAGCTGTCACTGGGAAGATGAATGCCAAGACTTCAGCTAACACATCAATGTAAGAAAAAATTAACTAAAATCCTCATAGCAGCGCACGTTTCCCCCTTCACCCTCTGGAATCAAACAGCTGGGTTTCAGCGAGTCCTGCAACCTAGGAGCTCAGCTTGGGGGCTGAAGGACAGCGGAGCCAACGAGGCAAGGCTTGGAGGAGAGATAACCTGAGAGCAGATAGCTCTGCAGTGGAGGATAAAGGGCACCTTGCTTAACGCGCGACTTCTGGCACGTAACTCTTGTCAAAGCCTTCAGCAAACATCATTATTTAAGATTACAGGTGAAGAAACCTGCCTTTCGCCACTTAGCAAGGATCGAAGGATAAACTATCGAACAGCGGCTTACTGCACATGCGGTGTAGATAGCTGTCTGCAGATGCTCACTCTTTCATCTGGCCCCCACACTAAAACAGGCTCTTCCAAGTAGCTAGGGGTCAGCTCATTATTTGCTAACAGCAACACACTTATCAGTTATGGATTTAAGTCTTAAAAGACTTGAACAAACCTTACATAAGACTTTTACTGCTGAATTCATGTCTACTAGAAGCTCAGCCGAATACTGCATCAATACACTCACATCAGGCTAGCCTCGCTCCCTGCTCCAGCAGAAGTCTCAGGCATTTCACTCCCAAGATGGCCAGAATCAGACCACTCTATTTAAATGGCTTAACATGGCAAAACCGGACCACTCTATTTAAAGGGCTTAACATGGCAAAACCGGTGCTGTACAGCGGGCATCAAGAAATTCTGCGTTCAGCAAAACGATACTAATCAAACTTCCACAGCTTGTGAGGGAAAATGGGGTTCTATGTTCCATGCAATAGCGTTTCTCTTGGAAAATTACTCCAGTTTTAAGGTATCTCACTACCCAGGAAACATCCCTGCTGCATTTGCAGAGGGGCCCTGAGAACTGGGCTCTTTGCAGCAGAACTGAAGCTCCTGGTGACCTTTCTTGAGTTCTGGGTGAGCTCAGTTGTACGGCTGGTGCAGCTTCGCCCTAGAAATTTTCACCTGGGGTTTCTACCTACCAATTCCATCTGCAGCCTTTCGCAACAGTCAGGTACTGAGTGCTTGCTTAGAAACCTGAAGGCTTGCTGGCTGCCTGAAATGCTCAAGAAGAGTCTAAATATCGGTTCTGAAGAAGATGAGTTTCCTGCCATTGGGCCTGCCCAGCAACGTTTCTCTCGAGGGATTCATGAACCCAACAGCTGCACAACTTACTGGGCCTCTACTGGATTTGTCAGTAGACAGGGCTGCACCCCAGCACCTGCCCTGTGCTGGATGGCTGCAGGGCTTGGAGCTTCTCCCTGCTAGGTGAATGCTCCTGTGTCTCTCCAAAAAAGAGGATGGTTAACATCCTGAGGGAATTTCCTCCTCAGCAGCGTGGCAGGAGGCTGGAGCAACACACAGGAAGGGCTGCTACGAGAAAGGGAAGGAAGGCTTCTCCTTGTCCGACTAGCAGAGGTGAATCCTACCTCTGCCAACCTGTGTTGATTATTTTAAGCTTATACTTTGTGCATAATACAACCAGCTCAGAAGAGAGACAACTTTACAAAGAAGAGCTTTATTTCGCCCTACCTGACTCGTGAGGTTGTTTTTAAGAGTCCTTGCTAGCCCAACTCAGCACCATCGCTGGGTAGTCGAGGGCAAATCGCAAAGTTGGAAATGTCCTTTACCTTTAAATGCCTCTGTAGCCCCTGGTGCGTGGTTCTTATCTGGGTGAAACTTCAGTGCAAGTTTCCGGTAAGCCTTTTTCAAGTCCTCATCAGAAGCTTCTCTGTTTACTCCCAGAATTTCATAGTAATCTTTGCACTGTTTTACCCTGCCAGTAGAGAGCGGAGAAAACACGGGCAGTTAGTTTCAGCTGTGAAAACCACTTTGCATCGAATATGTCAACTCTGCAGCATCTCACACATCACAGTTTCGATCGACGCTGTTCACTGAACTCTGGTTTACTCAGCTCTAATTCCTCAGAGGATGACCCAGTTTCTTTTTCACAGACTCATTCCCGCTGTGCCTGCATTACTCGCACACAAACACTCCCACAGAACAAGTCAAGCCAGTAGAGGTAGAAGGGCCTCTCTGCAGGCAATGGTATCACCCGCAAAGGAATGTGATCAGCAAATAAGCTTCAGATTCATCATGCTCACGTTTGGGAGGCTGTTTGGGAGGGACTACGAACGGCAGGCCAGGATCTGAAGGGTAGCTGGGCTTTTTCCTCCCCTCTCTCCTCCGACTCAGTTAATTCACAGACCTAAAAATAACATCAGCTGAATTCTAGAGGAAGAAAGAGGGAGCTGCCCAGGCCTGTGTGCGCAGCCCAGTTCGCTCTGGGGACACTCAGAGCCCAGCGATGGTTTCTCCTTCTCACATGACTTCGATGAGACAGACTACAGCAGGCTGGGCTTTTGGAGAAATGGATGACGTAACAAGCATCCCAGTAAGTCCATTAGCCGGAGCAGTTCTTGTGCAACAAAGTTTACCAAGTGACTGTGCCTGCAGTTCAGTCCTTCAACTTCCAGTATTTGCAAATGGTAGAAAGGAATAAGGAACAGCTCGAAAAAGGGTCTGGAAAGCAGGGGACTGGATAAACATGTCCTGGGACTTTCCAGCAGGAGCTTTAGAAGTGTATCGTGCTAACAGAGTGAAGCGTCCTGCGGTGGATTTCTACTTTATCTGACTGTAAGAGAGACCGTGAGCAGAATATCATCAGGAGAGAGGAAGAAGGATATGCCCTGTCGCTGGCTACTAGACCAAAGCTTAGAGCAGGAGGCCAAGCTACAGGCCATGACTTCCACCTACTGGATCTCAGGACCACATGGGATTTTTCACAGTATTACTGAATAACACTAAACCAGACATTAATGCGAAGTGCATGAGACGAATGCATCCAAAACGCCTCTTTGGACCTCAGCCAGGAAGAGGCCTATGTGCCTACGGTTCCAGCCCCCGCGCATGCCTTTGGGGGAAAATCTCATCCCTCATAGACCCAACCCAGCTACCTCCCAAGGCTGCTGTAGCTACAAATCCTCCTAGGTATGCTTTTAACACCCAGCCAGTTAAAAACCACGCAATATAGTTCAAAGCTGAAATCTTTAAAACACAGTGAAAACCAGACCGGTAATACATGATAAACTCAAAACAAACTGTGGGTTGAAGCCATGGAGAGCTGTGCACACACCTCTTCACTGCATCCACCTGGTCCTGAGTGTAGCCCTTGGGGGCCTCCCCACCGGCCTCTCCGTTGGCCGATGGGAAGTCTCCGCTCATTTTCTTGAACTGAGGGTTTGTGGACTCCCTGGATTGGGACTGGCCATTGGCCGATTGCTCGTTCTTGTTGAGCGATTCAAGCAGAACTGAAATGAGAAAAAAAAAGAAAAGTTAAGAAAATAAAGAAGTTAAGAGACCGCCAAGCTCAATCTGCCCTTCCAACTCTCCCATAAAGAGATCCCTCTTCATCTCTGCCGCCGCTGTAAGACCCTCCACCGATTGTCAGAAAGACCCTCACCTTTTCACCCAAGGAACCCTTGAGCTCTGACTCCTTCTTGCCCAGATGTGAGGGCTACTGCTGAAGATATTGCCTGCTTCTCCCAATGCACATAACCTCCATCAAAACCCCAGGCCTATCCAGCCAGACAGTCCGGGAACCACAGTGGATCACCAAAGCAGTGCATCCTTGTCCTCTCCTTTTTTTTCTTCCCCCCACATCTCTCCTTAGCAGTGAAGGATTTCCACCTTTGCTCTCTAGCATACTATAAAACATATTATTCTTCTTTATTTCCTGCCTTTCAGAATCTGCTGTGTTGGTTAAATTACGTGACAACACCAACAAAGCTTAGAAAATAATGGGATGCTGGGGGACACTCCTCCGTCGGGGACAGAGAACTGCAGCACTGATTGCTGGCAGCACGACAGGATCCGTAACACAGGAGTTGGAAGGGTGCTTTGTTCTCCTGCTCGGTCTTCCCTATGTATTACATGCATGTAGAAGAAGCTGTGAAAATCACCTTCTCTCTCAGTTACTGAATATGAATTGTACAAATTCAGTTTCTCTTAAGTGGGGTGTGCACGTGCATTGGGTAAAGTGCTGGGGACTATCGCCTCCTCCTTGCAAGGCTCAGACTCTGTCCTCCATCCTTTTCAGCCAAGAGGGGACAAACATTCAGGCCTGGCCTAACCGCACAGGTGACAACACTGCGAAACCAAGTGAGACTCCTCCAAGCACCAAAGTCTCTCTCCATTGTGCATTTCCCTGGCAGCTGGATCTTTTTAAACTATTTTTGCCTTTTTTTTAAACCAAATATCAGACTGATCTCCTCACACCTGTAGTTTCTGAAGTCTATATATTGCATCCCCATTAAAAAGAAAATGCACGCGTAATACGATTAAAACCAGACATATTTACAAAGGCATCAGTAACTTGACGAGCTTGCAGTCCTTTATCCAGAGCCTAGAACTGAGAAGGACGTTTCATCTCCTCATGCAGATTGCACGTTACAGACCTTGCACTATGGGGGTATCACGTTCTTTATGCAAGCGCAAACAAGGCTTGCAGGCCAAGAGATGAGCCAAGATATCCTATCTGCCCCGCAGAGCTTGTAGGGGCAAGAAAAAACCGCTCCATAATCCAACAGCCAATACAGGCAATTGTTACAGGACAAAAGATAAAAATGGCAGTGGGCTAACGAGCAGTAACTCACTGGATCAGCTTTCGAGCTTGGGGGCTTTATGGATTTCAGCTTTCAGAAAAATAAATCCTTCCCTCACTCATATTTATATCACCAGAGTGTTCACAAAACACTAGTCATAGAATCACAGAATCATCA